ACTTCTATGCCACACGTGGAGAAATCCTTTGGACAAAGACCCAGAAGTGGTTGTGAGCATTAAATGATGATGAGATTGATCAAGCCAGAAACCCTGCAACGTGAGATTCTGCATCATTGCTTAGTTCTGGATCAGAAGTTCATCTTCAACATAATTCAAAATGAACAACCAACTTCTGATCTTTGTATCTCCTTGCTCCAACATGTTCTGAAGGAGTTCTCAAACTTTCCAGGAAGCTTGCAACATGCTTTGTAACCTTCTTTGAGTTACCCTTGCAAACTCTGACTGAACCTTTGTGAAAACTGGCCCAGAAGTTCTGACCAAACTCTGTCTTGAAAGTGTCCAGAATTTGCTAAATGCCTATGCTTCAAAGACGTGCCTTTGAGGATGTATAACTTGAAATCCCAGCATTTTTGAAAGAAGTTATGTTCTGCAATGTTTTAGATCTCATTGAAATCTATAACTTTTGTGTTAGAAATTCTTCCAGAATTAGCTTACATTGTGGTGATAATTTGATCAAAAGTTCTGAGCTTGTCATATTTCTTAAACACTTAGAAAAAATTCTAAGTATTTTAGAATTTTGACTTTTCCAAAGTAATTCTGACTTTTGAATATCTTGATGGAACAAATCTCACATTCCAACATGTCTTGATGAAATATGATTCTTGAAGCTTGGCTTTGATCCAAAAGTCAAAATTTGACTTTTTAGTATGCAAATGACCATTTTGCCCTTGTGCCAATTCCAAGCCTAAATTGATGTATCAGTGTTGCAAACTTGACGTCATAGAAGATCTTGTGAGAGAATCCTTGATAAATGAGAGGGAAAATTTTGGAGTACAACAACTATCAAAAGCTTGTCATTTGAATGAAATGAGGGCTCTATTTATAGAGTTTAAGTTTGGGATTAGTGATAATTTGGTAATTGATTCTTGGAGCCAAAATTTGAACTAATGAATAACTTTAAAAAATTAGAGCCAAAATTTGAATTAATGAATATTTTTTAAAATGCAAGATTGGCACCAAAATTTGAATTAATGATATATCTTTCAAAAAAAATGAATAAAAATTGGAGCCAAAATTTGACAAGCTTAAAATTGCTGATTTTTCAAATTTTCACTTTGTGCAAATCGATTGCACTACAGTGCAAATCAATTTGCACTGTGTATTTTTCTAAAAATGGCGGAAAATGCACTATGTGCAATCGATTGCACTCTAAGATCAATCGATTGCACCAGTGAAAAAAATGAATTTTTGTTAATTATTTTTTCTTTGCAAATAGAGATTTTAGGAAAATAATACCAGAAATCCTTATTTGTCAGATGCTTTGACTTGGTACCTGCAAAACACAAATATGCAAAGACAGAGACAAATATTTTTTGTATTTTGATTAGAAGTTAGTCAATAACACATATACAAAATACACAACTAAGGTGCTTGGAGATTCCTCAAGAGCAAACTTAAAGATAGGAGATAGAAAAAGAGGAAGAACCAATCCTAATGTGATCTTGTTGCATTGTGAGGGTATGATATGACAGGGGACTCTTAAGGGCAAAAATTGGTGTACAACAATCGTGGCAGTTGATTATCTAGAAGAACTCAGCAAAAGGTAATTCTCAATTAAATCTTGGCAGTATGTTTTCTGTTAAAGAGCCTCACATCAAGCATGACGTACACATAACCATATCAAAGTATCAAAGTAATTCATAACATTTGGTGCATCTAACATACGAAAATACCAAAGAGCATTTGATAAAGCATCAAAGTTTATGCTGGTTAGAAAAAATGTCGAAAGAGGTCCACGTCTACATCCACGCCCACGCCTATATCCACATCTACATCTACATCCACGTCTGCATCCACATTCACATACACACATACGCATGCGCCTACAATAAAAATATTAAGATCTTGCTGACACTTATTCACCTTATTGAAATCAATTCAAAGATACTGCAACATACAATGTTAGGGAGATGGTAACACAAAACCAATAGTTTAAAAGGGGAGAATATCAAAAACATATTTCATTACATTTTGGGGCATATACAAACATTTGGTAAACATGTAAGTATTTGGGGCATACACAATACACTGGACATGCATACACCATGGGCTCTATATCAATCCAAGACATCATGCATATACATCATAGATGGCATTTTTTCAAACATACTTTGGGTAAAACCAATATCTTAGGGCCCTTTGTCCATTCAAGAAAACAAACAATTACATTGGTTGAGAACAGACACAACCAGTAAAAAAATTCAATCTCATCTTTGATCTAGTTATCTAAGATTTGATCATAAAAAACAGCTTTTTTATCTGTAATATAACTCATTGCGTTAGTCTCCATGCAACGATGTTGTTATCAAGCTTTTTAAATCATCTACCCCCTAGGTTGTGGTAGATCTGCAAATTGCTGGATTCATATTATTAATTCCCTGGGTTGCAATGAATACGTGAATTCATCCTCGTTCTGTTTACTCCCTAAGTTGTAGTAAACAGGATGAAATCTATGATATAACGCATTGCGTCATTCTCCATGCAGCAATGCGTTATCAAACATTTTCAATCATTTACCCCCTAGGTTACGGTAATTTAGAGAATTACTTTTTCAAATATCTATAGCTTGTGATAGATATGCGAATTTTCAGGGTTACACTATTCATCCCCTAGGTTGTGATTAATAACGTAAGCCCACCCCTGTTGTCTTTTATCCCCTAGGTTGTGATAAAGGCACGGGTTCATCCTCGTACTATTTACTCCCTAGGTTGTAGTAAACATGGAGAAGTCTGCAAAATAACTCATTGCGTTAGTCTCCATACAGTAATGTGTTATCAAGCTTTTTCAATTATCTATCCCCTAGGTTGCGATCGATATGCGAATTTTCAGGGTTATATTATCCATCCCCTAAGTCGTGATGAATAATGTAAGCCCACCCCTGTTGTCTTTTATCCCCTAGGTTGTGATAAAGACACGGGTTCATTCCCGTACTGTTTACTCCCTAGGTTGTAGTAAACCTGATGAAATCTGCGATATAACGCAATGCATCAGTCTTCATGCAACAATGTGTTATCAAGCTTTGTTTTATTTATCCCGTAGGTTGCGATGAATATGCAAAATCTACGTCATTAGCTCACTATGTTAGTCTCAAAGCATTAGTGAGTCAAATTTCAAACTGATATTGTTTACTATATAATTACGATATAGCTTGTTGCATCCGTCTCAATGCAGCAATAAGTTATCAATTTTTTTTTCAAGTTGTGTTATTTACCTACTAGGTTATAGTAAATACGCAAAAATTTGCTATCTCTTTTCTAGGTATTGGCAAGTTATCTGCGTCGTCATATCTAGGTTAATTTCACTTTCTGGTCTAACTCTGGTAAGATGATACATCGTCATCTTTGCCTATTTCTTTATTTAAACTCTGGTAAGATGATACATCATCATCTTTGCTTATTTCTTTGTTCAAACTCTGGTAGGATGATACATCATCATCTTTGCCTATTTCTCGAAGCTCTTTGGTATGTTATATTAGTGTAACCTTATTTAATAATGCTTTGGTCCAAATTTTGGGGTCTTCCATTATTTAATAACCCTCTTATTCGAATGTGTGATACTTGTGCATTCTCGCACCATTTAATCGAAGAGTGATTAAATAGGGGCAGCTGTCATACCCCAAATTTGCCCGCCTTGGCGCTACGATCAAAATTAATATCAAACTTGGATTTTTATAAAATTCTTTTGATTTACATTAATATTTTGGGATTTTATAAATATTCGTTCTCAAGTCCAGTTAAAAATATAATAATTTATTTCAAATAATTTATATTTTTAAATAGCAAATATCTGCACATCTTCCGTATACTTTCAATTGGATTTATTTACAAATGAGTAACATAACACAATTGGTAAAGAATGAAGCTTGCAAATATAAGGTCACGGGTTTGAATCTCTTGTGGTACACTTTTAATATTTTTTTCTATTCCTTTTTTTCATTAATTTTCTTTCCTTTTTTAAAGATCAGGCTTTGGGCTTTTCATTCATTTTGGGCTAACTTTCTCTCTAGTTATTTAACCTAATTTAACTCTATAAATGGGAATATTGTTGTCCTAGTTTCTCATCAAGAATTTCACAATTGCACTACACATCCAAAAATTTGCTATCTTCCAAGCACTTATAATTCTTGTTTTCTTGGTTTATTCTAGGTTGTTGACTTTATCAGACAACAACCTAAAAACAATACACTTTTTCTCTTTTCTACGTATTTACAAACAATGTTTTTTACTGGTCCATGATTTAATATGAGGCCTCCCTCTTGTTTTTAATTTTATCTTCTTAAATTTGATTTACTCGTTGTTTAAATTATATGATATTATCTGAGGGTTATTCTTTTAAAAATTATATTTTTGTAGATCCAGAATTCATCAACAATATCAACAATTTTCTATCTCTCTTTTTCACAAATATTTTTTTTGTCTTAGGCAGACATTTAACCTTGTTTTTGTTTTAAAAGATAATTGCACACATTACACACAAATCACCAATCACATGTACATATTGACTGCCTTCTTTCACGTATGAATTTCGCAGCTAATAACATCCACCAACCCTACACAAATCACACACACAAAAAGGTTTCAATTTCAAATTCTCTCATGTGCAGTATTGCTTTTTTCCATAAGAAATACAGACTACACAACTCCCAATTTTCACCACATTGAAACCACCCTCCAATTCATCAATATTTCTATCCCTCCACCATGGGCAAAACTAATTCCAAATCTCACTTGCAAAATTTCCATAAATCTCACAACCTAGTTTCAAATCTAGCCAACACTTCTTCAATTGTAAATAAAATTGGTTCCTACTAACATTATAACATCAATCTTTGTATAAAGTTGTTTTGTTTTTTTGAAGAGAATAGAAGCAAGAAACAGGTGTTGAAATCAAATCTGCTATGTTACTCGCAGCAGGAGCAACCCCTCTACACTCGCATCTCAGAACATCGTAAAACCTACATCAACACGCAGCACCGGACATTCGCAACCATTAACACCAGAAACTGCTCCCGCGTCATCGTCCTCCATTATTCCGCCGCACCTGCTTCCAGCGTCAGCCCACCATTGGTCATCTTCCTCCTCGCAACTGTTCCCCTTCCTCCGTGAGTTTTTGTTCAAGTTGTTTGTTCCTGGATTCATATTATGATATATTGTTTTGATTATTGAAAAGATAGAAAGATTGAAGCTTGAGGGAAAGGGTTAGTGCAGCGATAAAATTGTGTTTGTCTATGATTCTCTCTGTTTCTACGGTTTTAACATTGATTTGTTTTATTGTGTTTTTTAATTAAATAAATATGCCATGTGTTGCGATGTTACTTGTTAATGGAAATGGTGGAAAAGTCAAGATGTGGCTTTGGTTTCTTCTGATTATCGAGATAAAAGGTACACTGATAATTTTCTTTATTATTTAATTTTGGACTCTTTGGGCCCATATCTCTCTTTACACCCCTATAGTTATTAAGGTTACCCCAGTTTAATTGATTTAAAATTATTTTAGTTTTGTTATAAAAACACAATAGAAATATAAAAAATATTTTAAATCATCTGAGTATTTTATTAGTTTAGTCTTATTATAATAGTTAATTCTAATGAATTTAATCATTCTTGGTTTTTTAACAATTTTGATAAACTAGTTAGTTTCATATAATATATATAAAAAAATAATGACAAAAACAAATCAAGTTGTATATATTTACTAAAATCCTCTGATTAATCTAAGCATATTATCACTCTTACAAATACTTTATTCAAACATTCTATAAATAATAGGATGTCCATCTTCAGGTAATTAAATCGGTCAACACATAGTCTATTGGTTTATTATTCAAAATCAAACAATTAAAATCCACGGAACTCACCAAAATCACCATCCGCGAGCGACACATGGTCAATATTTGGCCACGTTATGAGGAGACTATATCAAACTCCACGCTATATGTCTTACCACATACTTCGACTAATAAAAATATTAAAACAGCTAACCAATTATGAACTTTTTCACTAACATAATCAAACTACAAGATATTTTCGAAAAAAGGATTAAGGAGAATCAATTTCAAATTTAATTGCAAACTACGTCTACGCTCAGTCAACTTACAACCCATACAAGGTTTAAGGATAAATTCGAAAGAAATTTTATGCAATTCTATAGAAAACACCAACCATGCGAACTATGAATTGGGACTTTGATTCCTCACAAGAGGATACGTAGGCATACGACTAAAATTATAGCGAGTTCCCCTAATAAAAAAACTAAAACCCTATTTCTCTAAAGATTGCGCTTTTAAACCTTAGTATCCTTGTGAACAAGGTAGATGAGGGGTGCCTAATACCTTCCCTTTGTCTAGAAACGAGTCCAACAATATAGATCTTTGTCCAAGTTAGGGTTATCCTTTATATTCCCTTCCTTAGGATAAAAATAAAAGGGTGGCGACTCTCATATTAAAACTAGTTACAACAGCCATCATAGATGAAATCATGGTAGTGGATTCTATTGGGTCAATGATAGTCATATCTTAAAGGGGACTGAGTGAAGGTCAACATTCTGAGATCACTGATGTATATCATTGGAAAGAAATCCTGGTAGGAGATTTTGGTTAATCGGATTATATTGGGTTAATGAATGTTATATCCAGTTTGGATCCCTGAATGCGTCATTAGATGTTAGTCATCGGCGGTTGCCCGTGTGATTGTGATCAGATTGATTATAGTGGATTATGTCCTTCAGATCAAGGCGAAATCACCTCGGAAGGGTGGATTGGACTAGCTTGGGGATTTCTCAAGTGAACCATGATATATCGCGTGTTCTTTACCTTTGCTTATGCTTAGAGTTTATGTTTTCTGAACTTAATTAGAAGAATTATTTAGAAGTAACAATCAGAAGCATCGTTCAACGAATAATTCTTAGAAGTGAAAGTTTTACAAGAAAGGAAAACTCAATTCAACCCCCCCCCCCCCCTTTCTTGCGTTTTCTTCACACCTTCAACTGGTATCAGAGCCCGGTTCTGTTATTGATGGATATCAAACACGTAATAATGTCATATAAAGATCCATATGCTTTGTGAAGAAATACTCTAAGGTGATAGTTATTCAATTTTCAACTACTGTGTAAATCCAAAAAATTGAAGAACAAGCTAACAGGAAAAGATTCATCAGATAAGAAGTTATATCCGTTGAATGGTTTTGATTAAGCTCCTTGAGAAGTATGAGATGTTTTCAAAAACCGGATTAGTCCACCCTTGACTTTCTCATAAGGTCTCATTATGAATCTTTTCAAAAGAAGAAAGACTGTTATCTTATGATACAAAAGAACCTCATGGTAAAACCATTTATTCAAGCAGATAAAAGATCTTTTGAAGATCTAATCATTGGTTCTGTTAAAAGAGGCTTTGTAGAAGACCAGACATTGTTGAGGAAAGAATTCTCATTGATTCATCAGAAGTGTGATCAAAGACTAACTCTAAACAAGTTAGCTCAGCATTGCAAGAACAAGATTGTTGGTCAAAATCGTTAAAGTTTGATGATATTTGTAGTAGAACAAATTTTGTAATTTGTTCAAGAAATCAAAAATTCAAAAGACGGTAGGCAATTACAGTTAGTTTTTATCTATAGAACATAGATTCTCAGAAGTTCATTTAATATCGATCCTCTATAAATAAGCCTCTGTTCGAAGAAATCTTGACAAGAAGATGGATGATTCGGATAATAAAATATCAGAATACCTATTCTTTGAGGATTACTCTCAAAGAAGTCAGAAGGGTGAATCTAAACAGAAGATCGAAGAAATCATTTGAAGAGAAGACTCTGGTTCTAGTTCTCAGATTAGACATCATAATTTAGAAGGTTTTATCTTCTCAAATCAAAAAATTGAGAATACTCAAAGAAATAAGAGGAATCAATATGAAGATAATTCAGAACCTCTAAAAGACTGCTCTAAAGAAAACATAAGAAGAAAGAAGTTGGTCAGAAGTTGTATCTAAAAGAAAGCTAAAGTTAAAGACAGATGGAAAATCTTTAAACACATGACAAGCTGATCAGAAGCTCTATCAAGGATAAGCTAAAGTCAAAACCAAAATGTAGAGCACTTAGATAAAAGAATCACGGTAAAGATTTAAGAATCTCAAAGGTATATTTTCTTTTATCTATAAGTTATTAGAACTTCTGATAAAAATACCTCTACAAGTTAGAAGATGTTTTTAACATAAGCATTCAAAATGTTAGTGCAACTCCAAGTTGTGAATTTTCTGGTTAAGTGAAAATCTCATGACCTGGAACATTATCTCTTCCAAGACAAATATATTTTAATCAATTCTCTAGACAATGTGAACACGTAAATTCTCTTGAGGATGAGCCGAATATTTTACGTATGATGTATGTGATAATAGCTTCTCACTCAAGCAACTATGTTCAAAGTTTTGCTATTTTTGTTCCGGTTTGTCACCTTTAAATGCTAATTCACTCAAATTCCTTATTTAGAACCTGTATGGTACTTTATCTTTATAAAGACTTATTCACTTCATTCTTTTTCCTTGAAATTCTTGTCATGTGTCAGTGATCTATGTTACTCTTGCAGATTAGTATAACCTTTTTCACCATCGAAAAACACATTGAAATTTCTTCTCTTGAAAGTAACATTGCTTCCAGCTTCTCATATGTGTTTTATTCTCAGCAATGGACAAGATACTTCAGTATGCTGAAGAAACCTCTTTATGTAAATCTTGTTAAAGAATTCTGGAAGCATGCTTATCTTGACTATGAGAATGGTTCTATTAATTCCTATATCTTTGAAATTCCCATCACCATTAATCCCTTCTCAATCACTCTTGTCACTTGATATGAAAATGTAGGTGTCCCAGTTGACTATGTCAAGTCTAGGTTTGTGGTGTCTGATAAATTTGATTCTCTTCATTACACATCATTAGGATATGAACCCATCAACCTTGGAAATCTCCTACCTATTCCCAAAGTCTGGTTCAAGCTTGTATTGTCCAACTTTCTTCCCAGAGGGGATAATCAAGACCTTATGAGGTATGATGATCAAGCATTCATCTATCTTATAATGAATGATAATCGTGTAAGCTTGCCATAGTCAATCTTCACATGTCTTTAGAAATCTATTTGTGAGTTACAGAATCACATAAAGTCTTACATTCCTTATGGACGAGTTTTGTCTGAAATCATTTTCCAAGAAGGAATAATGGATATGTTAAAAGAAATTATAGCATAAGTTGGTCCATAAAAGTGTCTTAAAGATTTCTTGTTAAAATCTAAGGAAAGTTAAATAAGGAAAGTTTAAAATTCTACGTCACTTAACCAATTATTAGCCTCCATAATAGATTAGGAGGTGTTACACTTTGATTAATTTGATTAGAAGCGCATCTTAATAGTTTATGTTGGACATGAGACTTCTAACACAAGATGGGATGAATTGTGTTGGATTGAAAAATCCATTTTCAAAATAAAATATTTTACAACATTAAGTTTAAAAACCTTTTGCAAAACGTACAAAGTAAAAGCAACAAAAATATGAAAACAAAAATGCAGCGAAAATAAATGGCTGGAAATTAAAGAGTTAAAGAATAAGAGAAAACATCCAAATTATGGAGGTTTGGTATTAATGATGTGACCTACTCCTCTCTCAAATGATTCTTATTGATAATTTTCACTATCTTGTGAGCTATTAAAAGTATATGCCCGCAAACTTTCTTTTACAAGGATTGGCATTTTTCAATGAATAACTTCTAGCCAACAACAAAATTTTAAGTATAAAGACCTCCACAACCAACTTGGAGCTTTTAACACAGACTAAACTCACGAACCAGGAGAGAGATTTTAACAAATGGCTAAGCTCCCAAACCTATTGAAAGTTTTAAGTACGCGGACCTCCCCAATAAAATAAGAGCTTTTATTGGTTTATCTCAAAACCAAACAAGAGTTTTAATGGTTTAACTCACAACCAAACGAAACCTTCTTACAAGGAAAATATTTCACAAGAGATAATACTCTCTTTTTCTATTTACAAATTTCCCCTCAACGGTAATAATGATCCCGATAAAGCACAAATTCACTCTCAAAGTACTAAGGAGAAACTAAAGTGAGAAAAATAGAGATTTGTAGAAAAAGTGTGGAGAGTGATAAGA